ATCTAGCCCAAGTTTGTATGGAGGGGTCTACAATTCATTTTTTCAAGTCCCTTTTGGATGAACAAAACAGTCTTACATGGGAGCAGTTCAAGAGGGAACTATTGGAGCGGTATGGCGGCATAGGTGAAGGGGATATTTTTGAAAGGTTGGCTGCGATCCATCAGGATGGAAGTGTCGAGGAATATATCACAGAATTTGAACGTCTCACAGCCCAGGTTCCGCGTTTTCCCGATGATCAGTATTTTGGATACTTTGTTCATGGATTGAAAGAGGTAATCAAAGGGCGTACGAAGCTTATGCATGTTGGGACCTCTATCACGATCATGGATGATGAATTTAGCAAGGGCAATTGAGATGGAATTACAAGAGAGGAAAGAAGGAGTATCATGTGCTGTTGGGTCAAAAGTGGGCTTTGGAGTGGGCCAAGTGAATCGGGCTGGCCCAACTTTTTATCCCACATCTAGATCGGGTCGTGGGTCAGGGTCAGGGTCAGATTATGGTCAAATGAAATTACCTAGGGCAGGAAATGCTGGAGCGGGATTCAAATCAGAATTTACAGGACAACCCCGTCCTATTTCAAGAGATCGAGGAGTGCGGCACCTATCCTACCAAGAACTAACAGAGCGAAGGCAAAAAGGGTTATGCTACAAGTGTGGTGGGCCTTACCACCCCAACCATCAATGTCCCGATAGGCAGTTGCGGGTGTTGCTAATAGAAGAAGAAGAGGATGCCGACGGGGAGGCAAAGATGGTGACTGTAACGGACGAGGGTGAGGCAGAGGAGGAGAGCGGAGAGTGTAGCATGCTATCGTTGGAAAACACTGTGGTGGTGAAGGAACTGAGGCACCAAACTATGAAGGTTCAAGCTTGTCTCAACGGTCCCTATTTTAGTGTTAATTGACAGTGGGGCCACACACAATTTCGTATCTAGAAAGATGGTGCATGCAATGGGCTGGCCAGTTACAACTACAAAAGCTCTAAACATTAGGCTTGGAGATAGTTACGTGGCACAAACTCAAGGTATGTGTTCGGGAGGAAATTTGAAGATCGGGGCTTTGTCTTTCATTGTAGATTCAATGGTGTTTGAACTGGAGGGAGTGGATTTGATTTTGGGGATGGCTTGGTAAGCATCCTTAGGACGAATGGTGGTAGACTGGGGTGAGCAGATTATGCAATTTCAAATAGATGACAAATGGGTACTAATTCAGGGTGAAGGGAGGCATGGTGATAAACAAACAGCTCTACAAACCTTGTTGGGCCGCTGTAAAAGTGAGATAGAAGGCATACTTTGGTCGACTGGGGTGAAAGTACATAAGACAGACTTGTATGATCACGAACAGAAGCTGAAGGAGCTGCTAGAAATTTTCAGTAAGGTGTTCAAGGAACCCACAGGACTCCCCCCTAAGAGAAGTAAGGAGCACGCTATTAACTTGATAGAAGGGCAAGGACCAGTAAATGTGAGGCCATACCGTTACCCACACCACCATAAAGACGAAATTGAGAATCAAGTGACGGAATTCTTACAAGCGGGGATGATTAGGCCAAGTCAAAGTGCATTTTCTAGCCCCGTCATTTTGGTAAAAAAGAAGGATAATACTTGGCAAATGTGTGTGGATTATCGGGCTTTGAATAAGGTGACAATTCTCGAAAAGTTCCCTATTCCAGTAATTGAAGAATTGCTAGATGAATTGTATGGGGCACAATTTTTCTCCAAGCTTGACCTCAAGTCGGGATATCACCAAGTTCGAGTCAAGGAGACTGATATTCATAAGACAACATTTCGCACACATGAAGGCCACTACGAATACATGGTAATGCCTTTCGGTTTGATGAACGCTCCTTCTACATTTCAATCATTAATGAATGAAATATTCAAACCCATGTTGAGAAAAACTGTGCTTGTGTTTTTTGATGATATACTGGTGTATAGCACCAGCTGGGAGGAACATGTCACACATTTATGTGAAGTATTAGAGACACTGCAACGGCATCAGTTAGTAGCAAACCAAAAGAAGTGCTCTTTTGGACAAATAGAGGTGGAGTATTTGGGGCATATCATTTCTAAGAATGGGGTGATGGTGGACCCTAAAAAGGTGAAGAGTGTAAAAGTCTGGCCTGTCCCAAAGAATGTTAAAGGAGTGAGGGGTTTTCTCGGGTTAACTGGATATTATCGCAAATTTATCCGAGACTATGGGAAAAGGGCTAGACCTTTGACTGAATTGACCAAGAAAGAGGGTTTCACATGGAATCCTCAAGCACAAGAAGCATTCAAGTGGCTTAAACAGCAACTCACCACTGTCCCTGTGTTGGCCCTTCCCAATTTTCAACAGGAGTTTGTAATAGAGAGTGATGCTTCCGGACAAGGAATAGGAGCAATCCTCACTTAGAATGGCAGGCCCTTAGCTTACTATAGCAAGGCATTAGGGGATAGGAACTTAACTAATCAGCCTACGAAAAGGAATTAATGGCTGTAGTACTAGTTATTCAGCATTGGAGACCCTACTTGTTAGGGAGGAAGTTTATAGTGAGAACTGATCAGAAGAGTTTGAGGTAGTTGCTCTTGCAGAGAGTGACTAATATGAATCAGCAAAATTGGGCAGCAAAGTTATTGGGGTATTGGTTTGATATTGAGTATAAACCAGGGTTGGAGAATCGCGGGGCTGATGCTCTATCCAAAATGTACGGGGATACTGAACTGCAATCAATGATTCATCAACCAAGATGGACAGAAATTCAAGAGGCTATGCAAGAGGTCCACTGTGATGAGAAATTGCTGTCTATTATTTCCGCCCTCCAGAAAGGTCAGGAAACTCGGCCAGGGTTTATATATAAACAAGGGACTTTGTTCTATGATGGAAGGTTGGTGCTGTCAGCAACCTTTCCTAAGATGTTAAAGGAATTTCATGAAACTCCACAAGAAGGACATTCGGGGTATTATAGGACATATAGGAGGATGACTGCCAATCTGTTTTGGTTCGGAATGAAGAGAACTGTTCAACAATTTGTTATGGGATGTGATGTGTGTCAACGTCAAAAATACCTTGCTACAGCCCCTAGTGGTCTGCTTCAACCGTTAAACATTCCAGAACAAATATGGGAAGAGATCTCTATGGATTTCATCATGGGATTACCTAAATCGAAGGGATATGAGGCTATCTTGGTAGTGGTAGACAGGCTGTCCAAGTACAGCCATTTCATACCTTTGAAACATCCTTATTCTGCAAGGGTGCTGGCCGAAATTTTTACACGTGAAGTAGTTCGTTTGCATGGTTTCCAGCCTCCATAATCAGTGACAGGGACCCTATTTTTGTAAGTACTTTTTGGAAGGAACTGTTTAAGTTGCAAGGGACTCACCTCAAGATGAGTACAGCCTATCATCCACAAACGGATGGCCAAACGGAGGTGGTCAATCGTTGTCTAGAGACATTTCTAAGATGCTTCATAGCTGATCAACCAAAACTGTGGGCAGAATATTGGTATAATACTAATTTTCATGCATCTACTGGGACCACTCCTTTTGAGGTGGTTTATGGAAGGAAACCTCCGTTGCTAACCAGATTTTTACCAAGAGAAGTGCGAGTGGAAGCTGTTCGCAGAGAGCTCTTAGAAAGAGATGAAGCTCTCAAACAATTGAAATACCAATTACAAAGAGCTCAAACTCGCATGAAGGGTCAAGTAGATCATAAAAGGCAGGCCAAGCAGTTTGAAGTAGGAGAGTGAGTCTTCCTAAAATTGAGGCCTCCTGGTCAATTGACTCTGGGAGTTAGGATTCATCCCAAATTAGCCCCTCGGTACTATGGTCCTTTCAAGATTTTGACAGGAGTAGAAGCTGTAGCATACAAATTGCAGTTACCTGAGTCAACAAGGATACACCCTATTTTTCATGTCTCACTCCTCAAAAAGGCTGTGGGTGATTACAATATTGAGGAGACACTTCCATTGGATTTGGCTACAGATTCTGAAATTCAGCCTGAACCTGAGACAGTGCTTGCTAAACGTGTTATTAAGAAACAGGGAGCAAATGTCAGTCAAGTATTGATACAGTGGAAGGGACAAGGTATGGAAGAAGCAACATGGGAAGAGGAGTTCAACATCAAAAGTCAGTTCCCTCATTTGAGACTTGAGGACAAGTCTCATTTTGAAGAAGGAAGCATTGATAGGAGTGGACATGTGGGCTTGGGTCGTGAGGAAAGGCCCAAGGCATGGAGGGTGTATGTTAGGAGAAAATGGGCTAAGAATAGAAAAGATGAGGTGGCAGAAGTTGTAACAGAATTGCCAAACAAGGGGGAATGAAGATTTGGGGGAATATAGGGAATGAAGAGGGGAGAGAGAGATCACTTTTTTTGGATAGAGAAATTCTGTTATGGACAGGGAGCTGTAGTCTCTTTGTAGGAGCGGTGCTCTGTGGCAGTGGGATTGTTTATTTCCTCCTGTATTGCTTTCTTTTACGTTAAATAATATACCATTCCCAGATTTTTTTTTTAGTTAGTTCTGCAGTCTAATATCTGGTTCCTAACAATATATATATATATATATATATATATATATATATATATATTTATACACACATAAGTGTATTTACAAATATACATAGTGATAGGCCGAAGCCCATATCTCTCATATGATACACTAGCAATAATCTAACTAATTGTCTGTGTTTGACTACTTGTACGAAATTTGAATTCCTAACAGCTTGAGAGGATATTTCTTGCTAGTGGTCAGTTGATATCTTATACCATTACAAGGACTATATAGCTTGGCCATTGTTTTCTATGTTCTTTGCTGTTGATTCTTCTACCTGATTTGGGGCATGTTATGAACAATTAGTTAGAATTATATATAGTGATAGTAATATGTGTTATCTTTGATGGTTTTATTTTATAATGATCAACTTTGAAGTAATCTGACATTTGATGCTGGTGGCTTTCATTGGCTCAAACTTAGATTGATACATGAAAATTGACCACATGATTTTATTTTTGGTTACCTTCCTGAACTTAGGTGCTAACATACGCACAACAATCTAAAGAACTGGCTAATATTGAGCAAGATAAGCTTGCAAAAAGGATCCAGGAATACAGAACACAGGCAGAGCTGAAAAGCATACGAGCTTCTAGCAACTATACAGATACAAAGCCAGGTTCTGATGGCACCCATGTTGTAGGCTTGAGCTCTTACAAAAACTTTGAAGCAGGGGTGCAGTCTGCAACCAAAGGGGAGGCAAGTAATTGGCCTGTTATGGTTAATATGTGAAAGTTCTCCTGTTTTTCTCAATTACATTGATTTTTCCTCCGCTGTTATCCTTTATTTTGATGTCTTAATTTGTGTGCTGTCTTGTTATTTTATTTTATTTTACCCTTGATTTTAGGTTCAAACAATTAAACAGGGATATCTGTTAAAACGGTCATCAAGCTTGCGAGGAGATTGGAAACGAAGGTTCTTTGTACTTGATAACCAACGGAATTTATATTATTACAGAGTGAAGGGTGCCAAACCCATGGTAGTTATTTTTGTCTCGTATTTGTTTTGAACTATCAAACGATCTGCTCATGTTTTACTTTCAAAATCTGTCTGCAGGGCTCTCAGTCATATAATTATACTCGTTCTTCTGAACAAAATAGTGGCATGTTTGGTAGATTCCGTTCAAGGCACAACAGGGCAGCATCGCTAAATGAGGATGTTTTAGGTTGTTGTGCAGTTGATCTTTGCACATCCACTATAAAGATGGACGCAGAGGATACCGATCTACGACTTTGTTTCCGAATAATTTCTCCCTCAAAAACATACACACTGCAGGTGACTGGTTGACTTATCTCTTATACTTTAACAAGTCATAATATAAGGCACTGCATTATGTGTTAACTTGGTGACAACCAAACATAATTTAGGCAGAAAATGGGCATTTCTGTTGGTTACATTTGTAATTTTTGCTTCTTTTAGATTAAAGCTTTTTTGCTAGATTTTGCATCAAATTTTTTGTTGGTATATTGTTGTTGATGGAAACTAGGATCCGTTGTCAGATCCAGATCCAAGGAAGAAACCACCCATCTAGAAAGTATATTTCAGAAGAGGGTGTGTGGCACAGTAACTATCATGTTGGCAGTTGAGTAAAAATTAGCAGATATGTATTATTAGAATGTGTAAAAATAACCGTAATGTAGGCAGTCTTGGGCAAAAGTGAGCAACAGTTATGAATTATGAAATATGTGTAGTATGGTAAAGTAGGATGATAAGTGTGTTATTATTTACAGTTTGTGGACAGAGAATGCTCTCTGTAGGAGACTTTTGTCTCTGGGACAGAAACTGTTTGCTTAACGTGTCATTTTTGTGTTCAGTATTAAATTTTATTAGTTAATCAATTGGTGTTCTATCAGTTGTCAATATTTTTTTTTGTTTGCTGATACTCCAAACTGGTTTTATCAGGCTGAAAATGAAACTGATAGGATGGACTGGGTAAACAAAATTACTGGAGCTATCACATCGCTTTTTAATTCTCAGTTTCTTCAGCAGGTTATATATTCAAACCTTTGAACTATAACTTGTTGCCAGAAGCCCATATGAGATGTAAAGTTAAAAATATATTTTGTTTGTGATCATTGCAGCCTCATTATGGTAGATTGCACTTGGAAAATAAAAACTCAACAGTTGGTGCTTCTTTGACAAGTCAATCAGAGGATAGTCACAAATCTTTGATGGATGACATATATTCCAATGAAGTGGGTAGTGTCTCTGAGATCTTAAGGGGAATTCCTGGGAATGATAAATGTGCTGAGTGCTGTGCTCCTGCACCAGACTGGGCATCTTTAAACATTGGCATTTTGCTGTGCATTGAATGCTCTGGCGTACATAGAAATCTTGGTGTTCATGTCTCGAAGGTGCATTCCTTCCGATGCAAATGCAAACCATTTATTTTACTAAACAGTTTATAATAAGGAAATCAGAACTTCTGTAACTTGTTTGAAATTTTCTCTGAATTTTATCTTTAACATTGAAGCATCCATAGTTTGAAAATGTAAAGATTTTATTTATTGACTTTATTGCTCTAGCATAGTTATACTGCTCTAAAGTGCTTACATATTTTTGCAACTCTTTCTTTCTTGTTCTGTGGGCTTTCATTTATCTTGTTATTTTTTTACTTTTTGGAAAAAAATACACACTTTGTTTGTGTTTGTAATTGAACTGAGTCATTTTCTTAAATACTGTGATTTTGTATTTGACATTAAAAGTAAATTACTGCTTTCTAAAGGTAATTAAATTTTATCTGCAAACTGCAGGTGAGATCCATAACATTAGATGTTAAGGTTTGGGAACCTACCGTTTTGAAGTTATTTGATAACTTAGGTAACACTTATTGTAATTCTATCTGGGAGGGCTTGCTTCTTGAAAATGAAAGGTAAAATTTTGGCTTTCATTACACAATGTACAATGTGCTATATTTTACATTGAGTGATTGTGTAGTGGAGCTTGTAATCCTTTCTTTTTGGGAACAATTATCTGCAGAGTAGGTGAATCAAATGTGTCTATGAAACCTTGCTATACAGATGCCTTTCAAGACAAGGAAAAGTACATCCAAGCAAAGGTAAGCAATTTCAGTTCTATTTCAATTTTTATAGAAAACCATGGTTTACTGCAGTGGCAGCTTGATATTGATATTTTTTGACTTATGATAATTTATTTCCATGAGTAAGATAGCATAATTCTATTTCATTTTTAATTTTTGTATGTTTGATAAATATTTTAATTCATTATTTATTAATATTCTATCCACTTTGAAAAAAAAAAAAAATATTGTTGTTCATTGAGGTATTTGAGGTATTTGCTAATATCCTTAGGCACCAGCATCCAGGATTTTGCTGGAAATATTTTCAAATTATCCGAAGAATTAAGGTTTTAGTTACCAACTAACAATTTGAAGTTATATAGGTTGGCCCTCAATTGGAATTGAACAACATTTTGTGAATTTCACTTCCCTTTATGGTCTTGATAAATTACTTGTTTTCATTGCTAATAAAATTCCAAATAAGATAGTTGATGGTTGCATATACAGAGAGATTATGTGTCCAGATCACTGCATTTGTGAATAATATAATTAGGGATCTGTCAAGATCCGTTGATATCAGGTGTCAAACTTGAACACCTACAAAATTTAATAACCTTTTATACAATGCAAGATTAACCAATCTAACTATTAGTTGAAGGTTTCCATCAAGTAGATCAACTTTATAAAATTTTATATAAAAACAATATTATTAAGTACTTCATCGTGTTACTTTATTTTAATAAATAATATATTTTTAAAATATAAATTGTCAAGAAGGAAATTGGTATTCCCTCTCAGACTTACTCACTCTCCAATCACAATGAAAGAGGAAAGGAACACAACTCTGAATTTCATTCATAATCCTCAAATGATTAGGGAGGGGTCTTTTTATACTATCCAATCCCTTACAACTATATTTCCGTTAATGACTAACCCACTAGATACACTAATTAACTGTTAAAATAGTTATTTTCTATTCCTAATTTCTGAAATATTACAATTAAATCCTCTATTTTTCTACTTAAAACAAGTGTCCCCCTCATCAAGTATAGCCTTTACCCCAAGGCCATGGAGGATCAAGTTGTCCAGGGAAAGTCTGGATATTTTTGCTGCAAGGTGTGCAACTCCTGCCAAATAGCATCTTCTGGATTCGTTTCTGACCATTGCACTAGTACTTCCGTGATTGCTCTATTGCCCTTCTTCTTCATTCTCCTATCCAACACAGCTAGAGGCCTAATTTGTAATTCACCATCTGCATCAAAAAGAGGCAATTGTGATGATGCCATCTGCTTCCCCTGATGTTTCTTAAGAAGAGAAACATGAAACACATCATGTATTTTAGTTCCTTCAGGCAGCTCCAATTTATACGCCACCCTACCAATGCGGTCAATAATTTTAAAAGGGCCATAGTATCGTGCAGCGAGTTTATGAAATTGAGTATTTGCCAATGTGTGTTGTCTCTATGGTTGAATTTTGAGGTAGACCATGTCACCACATTGAAACTCTTTGTCTGTTCTTTTTAAATCAGCATACCATTTCATAGTTGCCTGTGCTTTATAGAGATTTTCCTGCAGTGCCTTAGTTATCTGCTCTCGTGTTCGGATTGTATGTTCCACAGCTTCCACTAAAGATTCTCCATTTGCCAATACCGTAGGTGTGGAAGGTGGGTAGCCATATAATGCTTTAAATGGGGTCATCTTGGTAGCAGTATGAAACTTAGTATTATACCATAGTTCTGCCAATGATAAGTACTGAGACCATTTCCTAGGCATGTCACCAGTTACACATCTTAGGTAAGCTTCAATTGATTTATTTAAAGCTTCTGTTTGTCCATCCGTTTGTGGGTGGAAAGCAGTGGATTTCAAGAGCTTTACCCCATGAGTTTTCATTAACTCAGTCCAAAATGTACTCAAGAAAATTGAATCCCTATCAGGAATTATTTCAGTAGGCCATCCATGAAGTTTAATTACCTGATCCATAAAGACTTGTGCTACTTTAGCTGCACCAAATGGATGTCCTAATGCTATGAAATGACCATATTTAGTTAGTCTATCGATGACCACTAAAATTACTGTCATACCATTAGATTTTGGCAATCCAACTATAAAATCCATAGATATAGAAGTCCATGCTTTTTCTGGAATAGGTAATGGTTGGAGCAGTCCTGCAGGCAGTTGTTGCATAGGTTTATTCTTCTGACAAATCTCACATTCTAACACCCACTGCCTTACATCTTTCTGCATCCCTTTCCAGTAAAATTGTTCTTATATTCTCCTGTAAGTCAACTCATTTCCAGAGTGTCCGCTAATTATCGAGCTATGAAAATGTTGTATAATTTTCTTCCGAATTTCTGATGTGTTCCCCACTACCACTTTTCCTTTTCTTCTTAAAATGTCACCCTTAAAAGTATAATGCTTATGAGGCTGCTGATGTAATCTGATTGTATCAACTATTTTTTGTAACTTGGTGTCTTATTTCCATGCATCCCTTGCTTCCTGAATTAATTGTGAGGTCACGAACATAATTGCTGCCAAACTGCCGTGGTGGTCATACCTGGATAGTGCATCTGCCACAATGTTTTCCTTCCCTTTCTTATATTCAATGCTGAAGTCTAACCCCATCAGTTTTTCGAGACCCCAATTCTGCATTAATGTGGTAGGTGGTTGTTCCAACAAGTGTTTTAAGTCTTTCTGGTCAGTCTTTATAATGAAGTGGTGCCCCATTATATAATGTTGCCACTTCTTAATGGCAAATAGGATTGCATAGAATTCTTTTTCATAAGCAGACAACAACTGATATTTAGGTCTCATTGCTTTGCTTATATAAGCTATAGGATGTCCATTTTGTAAGAGGACTGCCCCTATACCAATGCCTGAGGCATCAGTTTCAACTGTAAAAGGCTGACTGAAATCAGGTAGAGAAAGAACAGGTGCTGTAACCAAAGCTTTCTTTAGGGAGGTAAATGCGAAATCAGTTGCTTCTGTCCATGTGAATGTAGTATCTTTTTGCAATAGCATTGTCAGAGGAGCTGCTATCTTCCCATAGTTGTTGATAAATTTCCTGTAGTAACTAGAAAGTCCTAGGAAACCCCTCAATTCTTTCTGATTTCTAGGTCTTGACCAATTTTGAATGACCTCAATTTTTGTACGATCAGGCTCCACACCTTTTGCTGAGATCAAATGTCCTAAGTAGACAACTTTACTTTGTCCAAAACTGCATTTCTTGTAATTGACAGCTAAGCATTTTTCCTGTAAAATGTCCAAAGTGATCTTCAAACACCTGAGGTGGTCTTCCCATGTCTTGGTGTACACTAAAATGTCATCGAAAAAAACTAGGATAAATTTCCGTAAATATTCTCTGAAGATGTTATTCATCAAGTTCTGAAATGTAGCTGGGGCATTGCTTAAACCAAATGGGAGAACCACCCACTCATAGTGGCCATTATGAGTTCTGAAAGCTGTCCTGTGAATGTCTGCCTCTACCATTCGCACTTGATTATAGCCGCTTTTTAAATCCAACTTGGAAAAGTAACTAGCACCTTGCAGCTCATCTAACAAATCCTCAATTAGTGGTATAGGGAACTTATTCTTTACTGTAAGTGCATTCAATTTTCGAAAATCAGTACAACATCTCCAAGAGCCATCTTTCTTCTTTACTAAGACCAAAGGAGAAGCATAACAGCTGACACTTTCTCTGATAAAACCTGTGGATAGTAGTTGCTTTACTTGTTTTTCAATTTCTTCCTTTTGATTATATGGATATCTGTAAGGTTTCAAACAAACTGGGGCCTCACTGGTCAAACGTATTTTGTGATCATATTTCCTTTTTGGAGGCAATTGTGTAGGTTCCTTGAACAATTGCTGATATTGCTGCAATAGAGCCTCCAATTGTGCTTGTTCTGTTGTTGCTAAATGATTGTGCTTGTCCTGTGGTGAATTGCTCCAGCAAGTAGGACCTTGTATTGCCAAAAGCATTGTCTGTGCAGGGATAGCTTTTAATTTTCCGTGTCTCCAGTATATCACTCAATTGTTGTTCTCCTTGTATCGTCACTGATTTACCTTGGTGCTGGAATGACATTGTCAATTGGGCACAATTCCAACAGATTTCACCCAAAGTTTTTAACCATTGCATGCCAAGAATGATCCCAAAGTTGCTGCTTGGCAAGACCAAGAAATCTGCGATGAACATATGGTTATTAAATTTCCATCATACCTGTGTGCAAATTTTTGTGATGATTAATTGCTTGTCTGAAGCCACCATTACAGGGAAGTTCTTAATATGAGTTGTCTTTAACCCAAGCATCTTTACCCACTTCTCACATATAAAATTATGGGTGCTGCCTGTATCTATTAGAAAAGGAACTTCTTGTTTCTTAATCAACCCTTTTAACTGTAATGTATTTCCTCCAGCAACTCCCTGCAAGGCATTCAAAGAGATATGAACACTTTTATCTTGAATCTTTCGAATACTATTCTGTACAAGCTCATTTTCCATTTCATTCTCATTGTCAGAATCTGAGTCTATCTCAAAATTGCCTTGTGCTGCAAAAATAGCACTTAGTTTACCCCAAACCTTACATTTTTGTTTATGATACCTATCCCACTTGTCACCACAGAAACGACATAGTCCTTTAGCTATTCTATCCCCTACTTCTTTTTGAGAAATAGCAGGTGTAAATGTTGCCTTTGATTCTGTTGTAGATGAAGAATTTGGAAAAGATTGAGAATGACTTTGTTGTAGACTCGTGATAGGTGTGCTACGAAAGTGTTGTGTTGTGTTTGACCAAGCTTTTGAAAATCGTACTGAGGGCTCCGGGTTTGTAGATCTTCCACTTGCAAATTTCTTTGTCATCTCGTGGAGAATTCCGTCTTGCAAGCTCGCTAAACGGACTGCTTCTTGAAGTGATGAAGGTTTATGTACTCGAACAGATTTTTCTAACTCAAGTTGCAATCCAGAAAGAAAGAAACTTAGAGCTATCTCTTCTGAGATAGTGACACGAGCCAGCAAATTGTCAAATGCCTCCAAATATTCAATCAAGGCCCCTTCTTGTTTTAGTCGTGCTAATTCAGCCACAGGATCGTCGAAAGCTCCATCGTCAAAGCGATAACCCACATCTTGAAGGATTTGACGCCAAGATTTGTTCTTGAAATCTGTTGTCTACACATAATGTCTCTGCCATGCAAACGCTTTACTGTCCATTGAAAGCAACAATAAACGGCCATGGTGATCTTCTGGAGTCCCTTCCAAATCGAAGAATTGTTCAGCTTTGGCTCTCCAATCGCTAAAGTTGGTTCCATCGAAAGAAGGAAAATTAATTTGAGCTCGATCCAGAACTGAAGACGAAACTTCCTGTGTTGCACTGTGAACTTCCATCTCTAACGCCCATTTTTGCCGGTATTAAGAGCTGCCACTGATGCGATAAGGCCATCCATAGATTTTTGTAACAACTCCAATGTTTTCTGTGTTGTATCTTGAGAATCTGTGAATGTTTTCTCCAGTGAATCGATACGGGTCTTGAGTTCTTTGGTGGTCACCATCGTTACCAAGATCTCTTGATACCAATTGTCAAGAAGGAAATTGGTATTCCCTCTCAGACTTACTCACTCTCCAATCACAATGAAAGAGGAAAGGAACACAACTCTGAATTTCATTCATAATCCTCAAATGATTAGGGAGGGGTCTTTTTATACTATCCAATCCCTTACAACTATATTTCCGTTAATGACTAACCCACTAGATACACTAATTAACTGTTAAAATAGTTATTTTCTATTCCTAATTTCTGAAATATTACAATTAAATCCTCTATATTTCTACTTATAACATAAATAAATATCAAATTTTGGATGACATACTTATAAATGTCTAAAATATGTAAAATTTGATATACATGATCATGAAGATAATATAAAATGATTCAACGGTTGAATTTATCAATCTTGCATTCTATAAAGAGTTATTTAACATTATAAATGTTTAAGTTTAACACCTAATGTCAACCAATCCTAACTCAATTAGGTTGATAATCTAAATAATCTTTATTTCCCTCTCTGTTGTAGGCATATTGTCTCTGCTAGTTGTGTCAGTTTTGCATCTTCACTTTTTATGTTATGTATTGCTGTATTATCTGATTAGCAAGCCTCTGCCTTATTTAGTTTTTACTGTGATCTAAATACTGTCGGGACATGTTTTTCTTAACTAGTATGTAGAGAAAGCACTAATAATCCGAGAAGAGGATATACCTGGGATCCCTTCAGTTTCTGTTAGAATCTGGGAAGCAGTTCAGACTGTCAATATACGAGAAGTTTATCGCCTTATTGTCACATCAACTTCAAATATGATAAACATGAAATATGATGATGTGGTTCACGATGCTGATGCTGATGCTGAAGGACATCAGCATGAACCTGAAGCCTGTCTGAGAGTTAAAGAAACTAATGAGATAGAGAGGTGTTTCCGAGGTTGGTCCTTGCTACATCTGGCATGTCATTCTGGCAGTGCATTAATGGTTGAGTTGTTGCTCCAATTTGGTGCTGATGTAAATTTGCGTGACTATCATGGAAGAACTCCCTTGCACCATTGCATTTCAAGTGGGAAAAATCCATTGGCAAAGTTTCTACTGAGAAGGTAATACTTTTATTTTAAGTCATTTTTTAAGCTTGTGTTTAGGCTTTTGGTGTAGTACGTGGTCATAAATTCTTCCTCTCTATCTCCCTTTGTATTTTATCTTCTATGAAAGTTGTGTTGGATAGAATTTAGAGGAAGATGCGTGAACAGAACTGAAGGCCTCCTTGATTACAACTTACATCTACGCTCTCTTTGTAACACACATCTTATTATTGGTTAAAATTTATTAAAAACTACAAAAATCATGTGGGTCTCATTTTTTTTCTCACGTAAATTCATGTTTTTTTTCATATTTTTTTAGTTTTCAATAAATTTTAGTCAATAATAAAGAGTGTGTTGCTAGTATTCCTCTTGCAAAGAAAGAGAAGGATTTAATATCCATATTCTGCCCGAACAAAATAATCAATAGAAAGTGCTGTCTTATCCATACATATCTATTAAGGAGACTCAATGGAGATATGTGAGCACCAGAACGAGCCTTCAGGGAGTCAGGACAGCCGCAACATTGTACTGAAACAGATTCTGCTTTAGTCATAGTAATGTGCCACAGAACTGCACACACAGAACAGTTGTATAAAACTTTGCACAATTTGTGTATTCTTGTTTCAGCCTGAAATTTTGGTTATGAAATCTTATATCTCCCTTAGTCTATTTATTATGAGAAGCAAGTAGGAATTTGTGTTCCTTCTATGTTTCCTAGCTATATTTTCTTGAAATCTCACAGTTCACCATTATCTCAGACAATACCTTCAGTGTCTTTGATGAAGCCTTAATAATTGAACTGACCATCAGTTCCCTATTTTATGTTTGTATCACGAGATATTTAGACAACTTATTGCTGCACAAACAGCTACGATTTTTTAATCTGCCTATTTTTGTGTGTACTTTGTATCAGTCATGCGTTATATATAAGTGAGGATGTGTGGGAGAGAGAATTGTATGATACACATTCTTCTCTAACACAGTCTTCCAATTAAAGCATAAACTAACATGCTATTTTACTAGGGGTGCGAGGCCCTCGGTTAAAGATGCTGGCGGACTCACTGTACTTGAAAGAGCAATGGAGATGGGAGCAATAACTGACGAAGAGCTATTTATCATGCTTGCTGAATGCCAGTGAAGATGGAACGAATTGGTAAATATTGTGTTAAGAATTTTGAATATAAGCTGTTGTTCATTAAGAATAGAATGTTCGATGTCTTATTAGCATACCTAATTCACCGAAAGGAAATTCATTAACTGTGGATCCATATTTCATGCAGTTACTAATCGAAAACACTTCCCATGTATCTCTCAATGAAAATTATAAAGGAATATATTCATCAAGATACTTCCTCAAAAACAAACTCGTTTTAGTCGTATCGTTGTATTTTTCTTACTTCTTATTTAGAAATATGCTTGAACGCATTGTTTTTAATTAACCAAATTTAGTTTAACTGTCGTTCAATTTTGAAATTTAAAAAATATCAGTTAATATATACCGTTGAAGTAAACTTATTTATAAAATTGGTTATAATATGAAATTAGATATGATAAAGGAATAAATTTATTTAAGAAATTTGTAAGAATGGGAAATAAGACAGGATAAAGGAATGATAAGGTATTATCTTATCCTATGTTTGACATACGGAGATAAACAAAAAATAATAGAATAAAATATAAATCAGATTTAAATAAAAAAATTATTATTATTATTTATCAAAATTGATATAATTTTTAAAATTAATTTTTATTTAATTTTTTAATATATATTAAAGAATTAAAAATCATATACATATAATATTTTAAATAGTAATAATACCATTAAAAAATGATCATATCTTAATGTTTCCTGAATCATTGCCTACATAAGTACATATTATAAGAATTTGAACTATGAAATGATAAAATGGATCAACTAAATAAGCTATTATTTAACAAACACAATATAAAAAATAGGGTAGGGGATAGTTTATTTTGTTATCTTATTTTAACCATTAACTAGGTCAGATAAACCGTAAATAACATGATGGTTTAAAAAATGTTATTGATGAAAGTTAGGTGCAAGGACTGGTGCGGTGTATGCTGGTTCAATTTAGGTAGATGGGATGGCATATATTACTCGTCTCCTTTAGGTATATAGGATATAGGATTGTATGCCCCGGTTTGGTACTCTCGCCAAAATGGTTTAGATAATGGAATTGGACTACATTGGTTTAGTACGTACTATGGTCCCAAAATGCAGTTTGGATAGATATATGGGTCGTTATACGTTGGTTTGGCATTTTTGTCCAAAATGCATGTAAGGGAAGATTACATGCAATTATAGATATTAACTGCAATTCGTTATATTGCAATGGGCACGGTATGGTTTCCCAATGTTTATATAAATTTTACAACGCTTCAACTTGGCTGCATTTAGTTTACAAACTTAAAATTATTATTCCAACCGTATCTTAACTCACAGAACACCTATAAATTTACGACGAACATTCTCTATTCATGCATCTTGGAAGCAATCTAAAGCAAACCTATAATGGACATGCTTGTGTATGTTAGTGTATTTGTAGCCCCTCTCTTCTTCATATTCATCCACCTATGGAGGCACAATAGAAATACACCTACCCCAAAATGGCCCATTATAGGTATGCTATCTGGGGTTTTGCGCAACCTGTCCAATATCCATGATTATACAACCACGATTTTGAAATATCATGGAGGTACTTTGAAGTTTGAAGGACCCTGGTTCTCAAACATAAACTTTGTCCTTACCAGCGATCCTATGAATGTGCACCACATTACTAGTAAGAATTTTGGCAACTATGGGAAAGGGTCTGAGTTCCATGAGATTTTCGAAGTTCTGGGAGACGGGATTTTTAATTCTGACTTCCAGAAATGGAAGTATGATAGAGCCATACTTCATTCAATGTTTAAGAATGACAGTTTTGAGAGCCTCCTTCAACAGATTATTCAGAAGAAGCTAGAAACTTGCCTACTTCCGTTTCTTAATCATGCATCCAAAACAGGAAGCCATGTGGACTTGCAAGACATCTTTCAAAGGTTCACCTTTGACAACATCTGCTCCATGGTATTAGGCTTTGATCCTAGCTGCCTTCCAAACAAGTTCATCGAGTTCTCAGAGGTTGCTTATGAGAAAGCCTTCAACAAAATGGAGGATGCAATCTTCTACAGACACGTAGTTCCAAGATGTTTATGGAAGCTGCAGAAATGGCTCCAAATTGGACAGGAGAAAAATTTCAACAAATCCCAAAAGATTGTTGACCAATTCTTGTATGAACGTATAACATCCAAACGTGAAGAGAGAAGGAATCATGCCAAAGTGGATGGATCAAGCTTTGACATGCTAAAAGTTCTTATGGAGACAAGCGGAAAGGAACAAACAAATGACAAGTTTTTGAGAGACACTGCAATTAATCTCCTAGCAGCAGGAAGGGACACAATCAGCGCAGGTCTCACCTGGTTCTTCTGGCTTGTTTCAACTCACCCACTTGTGGAAGCCAAAATTCTGCAAGAAATCAGAGAAAACTTCATAACCGAAAAAGAAAATTGGCTAGCTTCTGGTGTGAAAGAGCTAGATAAGCTAGTTTACCTGCATGGAGCTATATGTGAAGCCTTGAGACTTTTCCCACCAGTGCCTTTTGAGCACAAGTGTGCCATCAAATCTGATATTCTTCCTAGTGGTGATCGCATTAGTCCAAACACAATGGTGTTGTACTCTCTATACTCAATGGGAAGGATGGAACAAACATGGGGAAAAGATTGCTTGGAATTTAGGCCTGAAAGATGGATTTCAGAAAAAGGAGGGAATATATATGTACCCTCTTACAAGTTCATAACGTTTAATGCAGGGCCCAGAAGTTGTTTGGGTAAAAATATCAGCTTTGTTCAAATGAAGATAGTTGCCATTGCCTTGTTGTGGAATTTTAAAGTGCAAGTTGTTGAAGGCCATCCCGTGACCCCAAGTGTTTCTGTTGTGCTTCACATGAAACATGGCTTGAAGGTTAGGGTTAAAAAACGATGCATTGATGACGAGTGTTCCAAATGATTTATGTCGCTTTCTCTCCTATTTCTGATCACTACTTAGCGTGTCGCTGCTACATTTTAATTATTGATTGATTTATTGCAGTTAAAATAAAGATGGTTAGATGGTGTAATTAGGACCATGTTTCCTATCCTGAATGTTACAAAATTATGTTTATTGTTTTCTATTTTTATTTTTAATCTATCTTTTAAATTCTTATTCTGACTGCTTATACTCTCTTTTTGTTTAAGTTTTTCATGTTCCGTAAATAGTTTTTCTAGTTTTTAATTCGATAATAAAAATTGAGAAGTGCTAAATAGTGCGGAATATTTTTTTTGCACAGATTCAACGAATCTTGGCTTGATATAATTAGTTTAAAAAATGAAATAAAAAAACAAAAATCGACAGAAATCAAAGAAACAGTGATATATAACTGTTTCGTGTTTTATCTTTCCGGACTAAGCAGCAAATTTTTTCAAAAAATGTTAAATTATAAATTTAGTTCATATAATTGAAACCTTTTTTTTATTTTAGTTCTTGCCTAAAGAATTATAATTTAGTTCTAATATGAGGAAATATTTTTATATTAACTTTATTATAAAAAACATGCTAAGGATGTTAGATGAAAAGTGCAAAAAATAAAAAATAAATGATATAAAGACTAAAATTTCAATATAAATTATAAGAACTAATTTATAAATAGGTATCATATTTTTAAATTTTTTAAAATTATCAAATTTTAAAATTTAAAATTTATATTTTAATTATATATATATATATTTCATATCATAAATATTGTAAATTTTTTTTAAGAAAAAATATTTTATAAAAATTGATATAAAATAAAAAATTATTAATTTAAACTTTTGGAGTTGAGTTTTGTTAATCTTGTATTTAAAACACACTTAATGAGATGTTCATACTTTCAATATGTATTTTTCAATGTCATCTCATTCCTCATAGTAAGAAATAAATTAAAACATTTATTAACTACTTTATCCCAAAAAAAATATGCACTGACGTACTTAATATATATAAATAAATAAAGTTATGTTATAAAGTACAAAATTTAAAGTGCATAATATAATATTACATATCATCTAATTTTTTTTCAAATTATTTAACTATTAACATTACAAGAAAAGATAACAACTAGATAAGCATACAATACAAAATACATAAATAAAATAAACTTTTTCTCTCCTCTTGACTCCTTTTTCAGTCATCCAACCAATCTAGAAGAGGATCAAGATTAATGCCAATGTATGCAGCTGCATGGCAAAGAGGGAAATGTACCTCTACTTTATCTTCTTTCGGTATAATAGTGAGATTAACAAAAGTTATTAACAGTAGATATGGTTAAGATCATAAAACTCTAGAATATGTTAGTTGAAGTAATTGAAACTCCACTCCCTAACTCCTATACTAAAGGTCAAGGTACATGCATCAAGGATAGGGATGAGTACAAGCTTTCATAAACAATCAAATAGGCAATACTCATGTTTAAATAAATAAAACATCATTCAGGCATTAAGAATACTGAGCATCAACAATATCTATGTTTAAATAAATAAAACAACATTCAAGCACAACAAAATAACATTCAAGCATCAAGAAACAATCATTAGAATCTGCCTTACTTTCTTGACTAGTGTTACCGACATGGGAGTACGAGTAATTGGTGGTGAAAATAATGATTTTTTTTCGTGGGAGCACACTATTACTTTACTTCATGTCTACCCGCTGCTAGTTCTTATTGGTGAATATATAGACGTAGTTGGTGAGCAACAATCATTCAATGTCTTTTGTTGGTGAGTTCTCCATGAAGTAATTAATTAGTTATCCAACATTTTATTTTTAGGTTGAGATTGAGAATTCTGTGTCTGCAATATGGCTAGTATCATAAGTACATCTTCCCACTTTATAGGAGACAGACATAACATAATAAGTACACAATTTTCATTTTATGATCACTACCAGCAGTCTACACTTAAACCAATCTCTAATACTTGTCAGGATAGGCTAACAAAGTTTCTATGCTTACGACAAAAGTTAGTTAGGCTTGGTTCCTGTAAGTCTTGCGCATTCTCATGTCCCTTATAGTCAGACCAAAATTATTTGCTCCTTGCCTGTATCGTGACATATTCAACATCTTTTATAGTCACAAACACAAATGCAACAATTTCACATCCATTTTGTCCAACAAGTACTTTATAGCATCCCTATTTCAATAAAACAATAAATCACTTAGACATGGCTAATAATAAGAATTTTCTAGATTTCATGAAGCAAAATTTAAAATTTATAAATAATTCAATACAAGTCCAAACATCATGAAATCACTAAGGTTTTATTCCTTTAAATGTCTACTATAATATAAAATTACAATCAAAATTTAAACACTTCCAGATAATTCATTAAACCTCCATTCATCTCTACTACTCCCAGGTTAATTCTTTATTAGCTAGCACATTAGAAAATTTATAATAAATTTATTTCTCATAAAAAAACACATGAGACCAGTGAAGTTATTCTTATTAACATATCTATTTTTATATAAAAATACTTTCAAAATCAGACTATTCACAGACATCAATTTGTGCTTTAATTTCTCAGTACATGTCACAAAATAGCACAAGTTAACAAAAGCATATTGAAACAATCATAAATCATTTACTTCACTACTAAAACTAATAAAATTAGTGGCATTCTTTCATTTTGGTTATCTTAGTTTCACAGAAAAATATAAGTAAAAACTTATAACTTTCAAATTCTAGAATAAGTTTTAAACATTCTTTGTGACTCACAGTAACATAGTTCTCAGAATTAGTTAAATAGAAAATCATAAGTATTTTATTTTAAGTTCAAAATTCATCAAACTAATGAGGATATTTTCCTTATAGTCTCTATTTTAATACAAAAATACTATTAAAATAACATCACTTATACCTTTTAAAACAAAAATAGGTTTCTCAGTAACATGCATAAAAAGTTATTCTCAAATCATAAGTAATTCATTTTAACTCCAAATTGATCAAACTCAGAGAGAATATTTTCTTTATGAAGTCTAATTTCATACAAAAATATAAATAAAATAAAATTATTTTTGAATTTTAAGACAAAAATGATTTAAAGGATGTTGTTCTCATGAAAATATTTACTCAAAAGAATATTCAAAAACTCAACTATTTTATTTCAATTCCAAACCAAGTGAAACTAGTAAACACAATTCCATTAAGAAGTCTATGTTCATACAAAAATATCAATAAAATAAAGCTACCAACATATATTAGGATAAAAGTAAATAAAAGTACATTACTCCTAGAATACTATTTTCATGTAACAAAAAATTAGAAAAATCATAATTAATTCAATATAAATTCAAATAAAGTAAAATCATTGGAAAAATTCTCAAAATTTAACTATCTTTGTGAATAAAATACTAAAAATATATTTGCAAAAAATTTCTCATATTTTGCATTATTTTCACTTTCATCCTTATATTTTATATTAGTTGCAAAAAGGTCTTTGTTTCCAAATTTAGTAAGTTTCAAATTGTCTAGTATGTCTCTCATGTATAAGATCATTAATTCATGTCCAAATATAGTCTAAATCATTTTTATGGTCCTACCACACATGTGATCAAGTATATTGCATTTTCAAGGTATTTTTTGTCCAAGTTTATGGTATTTTTCCATTTTTAGGTTCAATCTTTCAAATTTATTTTTTTCAAAGTTTGTTCTCATCATTTGTCCATGTATTCCATAGGTCCCAATATGTACAAAAGTCCAAAAATTTTCATCATAGTCACTTTTTATTTTTAATCCATTTTTTTTAGAAGTTTCTTTGATAAATCTTTAAAAATATTTTAGAAATTCATTTTGACTCCAAAATAATTTCAATCTAAAAGAAAATCATGAATACAACTTAGACACCATAGAAATAAGTCACAACATCATAGATCTACATGAAACATGCAATATTTTCATACAACTAACCACATAACAAGCAAAGTCATCATTAAATACAACACATTTTGTGGTCTTAGTAATTTTCATGCATTTACTTGTTTTAATCAAATTTTTAATCATGGATTTCCCAACACATACAAATTTAACACAATAAAAAAGAGTTAAAGATCTCTTTTGACTGAACCATTCAACAAAGTATTCCCCATGATTATGAAAAGTATCCTCCCCTTACTTAGTGTTTTTGAGTTGATCTTGCCTTGATATGTGGGAGATCCTTCTCCTCTTCCTTTTTTGTTTCCTTTCTCCTCTTGGAAATGAGTTTCTTTTTCCCTTGATCTTTTCCTTGCTCACTTGACAATGATCTCCAACAAGAAAAAGTTAGAAACTTTGTGGATTTGTGAGTATCTTGGTATTTTTTATCAGGTTTAAATGCTTGATTGAAGACTTTAATGGTGGAATATTGGATGATCTAACCTTGTGGGATTCAAGTGAAGTGTTTGAAATGAACTCAAATGTGTTTAGAGAGAATTAAGATGAAGAAGAATGGAGAAATACTTAGGCTTACATGAAAAATGTAATACCTTAATTTAATTTTTAAAATAAATAAATTTCGCGATAAATGGGAATAATAATAATTTCATTCAAATGATTCTCAAATAGAGTTTCAATAAAGTATTTCAAAATAAGGGAAGGTTATAAGTTTGCATCAAAATAAACGCTGCAGGACTAATTTGAAATACATCACAATTTTTCAAAAATAATTTACTAAGTCTTATAGCAATTTCATGTCTCTCGTCATTGAACCTGATGCTGATCGTCTTTGTCACTAAAAAAATAAATGTAAGAGTGAGTACTCTATACTATCACACACAAGCACAAAGACCCACCTTTGCATGTTTCACAACAATTACTAATATAATAAAATTACATTTAAACAAGCATTAATCCATTCATTCAACAATGTTCACAAATATTTGCACATCTATTCACACACAGGTGCGCTCATTGCACCCTTAAACATTTCATATACACACGTGCGCTCATTGCATGCTA